GATGTATTTAAGCATTTTCAGGCCATGGTTGAAAGAGAAACAGGGCAGAAATTGAAGTGCATCCGATCAGACAATGGTGGTGAATACATTGGGCCATTTGATGAGTATTGTCGCAGACAAGGTATTCGGCACCAAAAGACAGTTAAGAAGACTCCTCAACAAAATGGCGTTGTTGAGAGGATGAACCGCACCAATTGGCTTGATTTTATTTGATAATCCCACATCGGAAAAAGAAGGAAAAAATGAATTATTTTACTTATATAAAGTGAATCTTATACTCTCATCTTATTTAATATTGTAGTGTTGTGCATGTTTCAATTCAATATCGCCGATTAGGCTAAATCATTTCTGTTCATAAATATATATATATATATATAATCAGTGGTTAAATATAAAAGTTTTAATTAATTAATTATGACTTATCCAATTAGGCTAAATCATTTTTGATTTAATTTATTTGTTGGTTTAACCTCCATTTTAGTAGTTTTAGTAAAATATATTGATTAGATTTGTTTGATTCAAAATAAACTAAAGATTGATTTGATTAAATATTGAAACAATGAAATTGCTTGATTAGAAATAAAGAAAAAAAAATTTACTAATATTAACTTTTATTTTATAATTCCACGTCGGAAAAAAATAAATAAATAAATGAGTTGTTTTGAGATAGAGATGTGGCAGTGTCATGCCAACTCATGTGCGAGTGATTTTGTTAGAAATTGGGCGCCCATGTGGCATGACCCTTTTCAGCCTTTTGAACCTTATCCAAATGGGTTTTGAATTTGAATTCAAACCTATTTGGATAACCACTCAGGATATATATCTATCATATCCTGATATGGATAGATGATATAGCTATCAGATATTGTCTCATATAACTAATATGGATAAATGAGATAAATAGAATATATATATGATATATGGGATATGGGTGATTAAGAGAAAAATAACTTACATTTGTTTTTTCCCCATATACTGACTCTCTCCCAAAAAACAACGATCAAAGCCATTTGCACTGTGGTTTGTATGGGTGATATTCACTATTGTAATATCACCCCATTGCTGGGTTGATTGACCAGATTCAGGAAGCACATGATTTACCCACGAGATCCTTCAATTCAGACTCTGTTTGAAAGGTATGGCCATAATTTTTATTCCGCTGTGTTATACTTTGTTTACAGGTCATGTAGCACTTGACCAGTTATGTTCTCTGAAATGTAATGCATGCTTTTTCTTTCATTTTATTTTTCAGTTTTTCAGTGGACAATAGAAAGATGATGTGTTGCATTTTTTTTATGGTTGCTTAATATAGATCTACGTATTGAAAGATTATGCATTTGAGCCTTAAAATTGAACCAACCATGGATACAGACATGGGACACAATCATGCATACACAACAGCTAACTAAAAATTAGGGCTTGGACACATTGAACAAAAAAGAAAGTAGATTATATATTATAAATCCATATATCAAGATATCAAAACAACAAAACCACTAAACCAAAAACCAAGAACTGAGCACAATAAACTTTTAGTTAAATGTCCAGGCTTTCTTTGTACGCACTTAGAAAGTGGTTGCCTACTATAAATAAACAATAGATGTTGAACTATTAATTATGAAAATGACTTGAAAAGTATAGCTTATGACATTGAATTATCTGGCGAACATTATAGTTGAGGTTATTACAATTTTGGTCAACTTTTTCCTATTTGCAACAGCGAGGTTAATTTTTCAGATGAAGGAAAAAGGTTGGGAACTAAAAACCTTTCCCTTGTGAGAGTCTTCTGCAAGTTTCCCACAATCTTGTTCATTGTGGTCATATAAATGAATATAGCTTTAAAACATATATGTATGTATGTTTTCAAAGATAGAAGCTTGAAATTAAAATTATCCAGTTGTATATAACTAAATTAATTATATTTTCATAGAGACTGAAATACATCTTATGTAAAAGATTGAACTTCTATTTCTGACATTGTATGGTGGTTTATTTATTTATTTTCCTTTAGAAGTTATCATGGATTTTAGTTAGTATACAAAATCTTGGGTTTGAGTCCAAGGAAAACAATTTTATGCAAATATAGCAGAAGTTCTGTGCCCAGTCTCCCCTTTCCACTGCCACTTAGGATTGACATTCATCAGTTAATGGCCTTCTTATATACTAAATACGATTGTTATTGATGGTACACAATATTACAGCCGGAAAAATTGAAACAAGTCGAATATAAAAAAAATTGGACCCAAAAGTTGTGATTATCTAAGTGGCAGGGGTAAAAAGATTCCCCAAAAAGTATTGTGGTTTGAAAATTAAGTAGAAAAATATACTTTTCCAACACTTAGGCTTGAAAATAGGCCATTGGAGGCCAAAATCGTGAAACACCCATGAGAAGGCCATGGGAACACACCGAACTCCTTGGGAAGGACCAATGTAACTTGTGGAAACTTACGGAACTAACACGGGACTCTAGGTTTGAAAACTAAGTAGAAAAATGTATTTTTCTACCACTTAGGCTTGAAAATAGGCCATCGAGGGCCAAAATCGTGAAACACCCATGAGAAGGCCACGAGAACACCCTAAACATCTCGAGAGGGACCAATGTAACTTGTGAAAACCTATGGAACTAGAACTGGATTCCCGGTTTGAAAACTAAGTTGAAAAATGCACTTTTCCAATACTTAGGCTTGAAAATAGGCCATCGGGGGGCCAAAATCGTAAAACAGCCACGAGAAGGCCTAGGGAATACCTCAAACACCTTAGGAGGGACTAACGTAAGTTGTGGAAACTTATGAAATTAACACGGGACTCTCGGTTTGCAAACTAAGTTGAAAAATACACTTTTTCAACACTTAGGGTTGAAAATATGCCATCAGACTCCAAAATCGTGAAACAGCCACGAGAAGGCCCGGGGAACACCCCGAACACCTCGAGAGGGACCGATGTAAGTTGTGGAACTTACGAAAATAGCATGGGACTCCCTGTTTGAAAACTAAATAGAAAAATGCACTTTTCCAACACTTAGGCTTGAGAATAAGTCATCAGAGGCCATAATCGTGAAACAGCCACAAGAAGGCCACGGGAACAACCCAAACACCTCAGGAGGGACCAATGTAACTTGTGAAAACTTACGGAATTAGCACTGGATTCTCGGTTTGAAAACTAAGTGAAAAAATGCACTTTCCCAACACTTAGGTTTGAAAATAGACCACTGTGGGGCCAAAATCGTAAAACAACCACAAGAAGGCCCGGGGAATACCTCAAACACCTCGGGAGGGACAAATGTAATTTGTGGAAACTTACGGAACTAGTATAGGACTCCTGGTTTTCAAACTAAGTAGAAAAATACATTTTTCCAACACTTAGGCTTGAAAATATGCCATCGAGCTCCGAAGTCATGAAACAGTCAGGAGAAGGCCTAGGGAACACCCCGAACAACTCGGGAGGGACCGATGTAAGTTGTGGAAACTTACGGAACTAGCACGGGACTCCCTATTTAAAAACTAAGTAGAAAAATGCACTTTTTCAACACTTAGGCTTGAGAATAGACCATCAGAGGCTAAAATCGTGAAACTACCACGAGAAGGCTCGGGAAATACCTCAAACACCTAGGGAGGAACCAATGTGAGTTTTGAAAACTTATGGAACTAGTATGGGACTGCCGGTTTGAAAATTAAGTCGAAAAATGCATTTTTTCCAACACTTAGGTTTGAAAATAGGCCATTGGAGGCCAAAATCGTGAAACAGCCACGAGAAGGCCCGGGAAACACCCCAAACACCTCGGAAGGGACCAATGTAAGTTGTGAAAACTTATTGAACTAGCATGAGACTCCCAGTTTGAAAACTAAGTCAAAAAATACACTTTTCAAAAAATGTTAAATTGTATATTTTATTGATAAGATAGTAATTCTCTTCCCTCTTTTTTTTTTTTTTTTTTTGGTTTTGTTTTGTTGCAGATTGGAGATTAGAGATGGACGTGTTTGGCAATCTGGAGAGCAAGAGCTTGCTTATTTTGTGTTTTTATTAATATTACCTTACATGTATTTTGGTTGCATTGTAAAGTTTATATTTTTGTATATATTAGAAGACACGTTTGGTAATCTACACTTGATATTATATATTTGTAGATATTAGGAGACGTGTTTTCTGTGGATATTAGGAGACATGTTTTGTAATCGGCAGTTAATGTTGTATTTTTGTGGATATTATGAGACATATTTCGACTGTGGTGTCTATGAAAATGAACAAGTTTTTGTATTGATCTGTAATAGATATTTTATTAAACATATTATTAAAATGTGCAGGGAATTTTTAGTAAAAAAAAAATTGAAAATTTAAAATATTACCACCATTTTTAAAAATGTAATTATTATTAGTGACGAAATTAAAAAACTGTACCTATTAGTTTCAAAAAACTTTTCTTGACAAATAATTTTGTCACCAATAATATAGTTCCAACAAATAATTCCGGTATATTTGTTGAATATTTCGTCACAAACTTGAAATATTTGGTGAAAAAATTGTTTTTGTTATTGAAGAATTTTGTTTTGTGCTCATTTTAGTGACGAATTGTTTTGTCACCTTAATCTATATCATTGGTGAGGATAAATTTTGTCACTAAAACCTCTATCTTAATATTTCGTGACGAAATATTTCATCGCCAAAACAATTAAAAAAAATATTATTTAATTATAGTGACGAAATGGATGTTATAGAGGACGAAAAATTCAATATTTAGAGACGAAAATTTTCGTTGCCAAAAATGAAGAATAGGCGATGAAACGATTTTTCGTAACCACGTACTTTCTGCGATGACAAATGGACGACAAACATGGTGACAAAATTTTTTCGTCACAGATCACTTTGGTGACAAAAATTTGATATTTGGAGACAAAATCAGTCTATCGCCAAAGACTTTTTTTGTTGTAGTGTTGTGTTCAAGTAGTTAAATGCAGTTTAATGGCTCATCCGAAGGTAATCCAAGAATTGTAGGGATGAAGGGTTTTCTAGACCATCACATAGTCCTGTTTTTGGCTGCTTGCTTGTCCTATTGGCATTACCACTAAATATATGGCAAATTTGTGAGCTCTATGAACTGACCTACAAATAGCATTGAATGTTGACTACAAAAATCTAATTATTGAATCTTATTCTCTTATAGAACTTTGTATGTTCTACTCAAGCAATGGACGAAGATTTGCTAATTCTCTTAAAACATTGAATGCTTTACACAAGCAATAGATGAGGATTCACTAATTCTCTTGAAACATTGAACGCTTTACACAAACAATAGACGAGGTTATGCATGGATTAAGCTCTTGTGCAGGATTGTTCACAACTTCTACATGAATTTTATCATATTAGCTTTTGTTTTGCCCATAAGGAGATCAATCAAGTAGTTGATGTTGAGCTAAACTTGCAACTACCCTTTCTCCTAAACAGATTTATTACCGTCCCATTTTATTTTTGCATATGATTGTTTTGGAGAGAGATAGGTGTTGGAAAAATGGTTTAATATAGGCATATTTTTTAGTCCTATTTGAGTGGGCCCTGTAGAAGCGCCCGTGTGGAGGCCCTTGTTGCTACAGTTCGGACTCGATTTGTGTCACGGTTCTTAATCTTGAACCAAAGAGTCCAAATCCGGCAAATCGTTTTGAGAAACAGATTTTTTGAAAAGAAGTGCCAAACATGGACTGCTTTGCCAGATACAGAGTCTCCACCTAAATATTTTAAAATGGGAGAATTTAGGAAACCCTGACTCGGTGCCGAAAGCCACATGTCCGTCATCACCGGAGTTGTCTCGGCTCGGGAGCTAGGGTACGATTGGGGAAGGTCATCTATGAGCACCCCTTCTCGTCCGATCCGAAGATCGGCCTCTACTAACCGTGATATCCGTTTTTGAAAATATTATGTGTTCTTATACCATTTATTAGCCTAGAATTACTATGTTATGCGCGCAGCAAACAAGTATAGACTAGATTGCCTAATTTGGAAATAAGCATTGCATATCCGTTTGTTTTTTGAAAAATGCTTTGGACTTTGCTACTCGCAAGTAGGCTAAAATACGGATTTCAACGAGTCTTTCCAACTCAAACAATCCAACCTTTACCCACAGGCATTCAAACAGTTTATAACACATAAGCATCTAGCCACATGGTAAGCATGCTGTCATGGTAGCATTCACGCGCATGCGATATGCTAAAACATTTAAAATACTTACATAGTACTCCGTGCCAAAACAAAGAACTTGTTAGCAGACATGCATGATCCAAGTCCATGTTAAGTGCCTAATGCATCGCATACAACATGTTACTAGAATAGGCTCGGCTAACCTACACATGGCATGTGAAATGCGATTAATTGATGCACGTATTCAATTTGGGATTGGAATACAAATGCAGTTAGCATGATGTACCGAGCCCGGTGCATGTAAGACAAATGAATGAATGCACGCATGCATTGCATGAAGTATGCTAATTTAAACGTGCCTTAATCTACCATCATAAGCAGGTAAATAAAAGGGAAGAAAGACGTGGGGTTGGAAGACATACACCCACTCACGCACACTTATTACAGATTTGCCCTCGCCCGGAGGGACCAAATAAATAATACAAATTAATTAACTACGCAAGCTAATTAAATATTACAAATTGCCTAATCAGTCAACAAACTAATTTAAACTAGGAAAAACAGTAAACCGTCTCGGGAGGAGAGCCAGATGCAGCACATGCTCGGGTCTCGCTCGGAAGTGCACGACCATGCATAGTCTGCCTCTGTTTTCCCTGCTCTACCTCTCTGAAGACTGCCAAAGTCTCAAGGATGCTTCTCTGGATACTGGGAATCACCACCGGCTGAGTAGAATTACCACCGGCAGTGAACTGTGGTCACTGGCACAAAATGAATCCATCGGCTGGTGATTTACGGCCGGTCGGCAATTGGCAGCACTGTCGGTCGGCAAAGATGGCCTGCAGAACCTGAACTCACAGCAGCAGAGGACAGAACTTGCATGGCAATACAATTCAAACAATGTATGAACCAATCGTGTCCCTTATCATGTTTGTGACTCAAAAGGGCACGTGCTCGATTCTCGGACCGCCAATCACGCATTTCCACGCATAACGGCCCAAAGAATCAAGTGTGCAACTTTCATGTCAAATGAAATGCAAACCAAACAAATGAACCAAGGCCCAATTCCTATCACCAAGTCAAGGAACAAGGCATACATGCAAGATGCAATGCAACCTAGGCATGCAAGCTAAGGATGCAACATGGCATGGCAAGACACTTATGCAAGCATACAAGCAAACATGAGGCAATGCAAACCGATGAAAAGGTGGACTTATACATGATTTAGGCAACTCTAAATAGGCCTAAAACAGTGGCCAAAGTGACCAAATAAAGGACTAAACACATACACACATGCACATGTTAAAGGGGCCAACACTTAGGCACAAATGGGACAACTCTCAAACACATTTGAAAGAGAATAATCATGGACATATGGCATGCAAGGTAAGCATTGAAAATCATGTTAAGATGGTGCCAAACCAAGCAAACAAAATAGACTAAGCATGCAATAAATGGCCCAAGTACTTGAAGCAAGTCCAAGGGGCTTGAACCATGACCAAGTCAACCAAGCCTCACAAGGCTAAGAGGACTTAAAATAGGCTCAAGACAGACCTAGACCATGCAAAGGGGACTCTTAGATGGCATCTAAGTGACTCAAAATCAAAAGCATGCACAATGACCAAGACATGGAGCATGCAAGTCAAGCTTCCAAAGCTTCAAAGAGGTGTCCAAAGCAAGCATACAAGCATGTCAAAGGGACTGAAATTATGCTATAAATGATGCCAAATCATTAGAATAAAGCAAATAGTCATGCTATATACTCACACACTTGAGGCCAACAAGCTGGAATGCAAAGGGGCTATATAATGCATACCAAGATCAACCCAAACAACTATGGACAGACCTCTAGCATGGTAAAATAAGCATAGAAGCTTCACAAAACTAAGCCTAAAACGTGCTAGAACAAAGGTTTACAACCTAAGGCATGTTAAGGCCTAAACATGGCATTACAAGGTTA